TGACCTTCTATCTTCCTGAGTATTACTGTCCCTCTCCAGGGAATATCCCCTCCTACCAACATGTCCAAAGTATGTGAGGTAGAAGCTCCTCACCTTTGCCTCCAAAGAGCACTCTGGCTGCACCCTCTCCAAGACATATTTGTGTTCTTTTGACAGGCCGTGGGATGTTCGGAGCTCTGGTGGCCTAGTGGTAGAAGCTACTCTGCAATCCTGAAGGCCCTTGGCTTGAGGCCACCAGGTGCTCAATATGAGAAGGCTAGGCTGTCCCCTCCTGTGCAATCAACTGTCTCTGCAAACCTGCCAGAGGGTCAACTATGGGTTGGTTCTCACTCTATGGTACACAACACCACAACAGCATGAAATGTCCAGCTCTTTTTCAACACCACAGCAAAAAGGCATCAATTCTTCTTCTGTCATCCTTATTCATTGTCCAGCTCTGCGATACATAGCAAGTAATCAGAAAGACTCAGGCCTGAAGCAGACACATCTTAGTCCTCAAACTGATATCATGACTTCTCAATAACTTGGAGAGGCTCCTAACTGTAGATTTTCCCAGTGCAGTGCATCTCCTTATTTCCTGACTGCTGGTACCAAGGGCTTGTTAACTGTTAATTGTGGATTCAAGCAAGACAAAGCTATTGACAGTTTCAATATCCTCTCCATCCATCATGACACGGCTTATTGGTCTAGTGGTAAGAATCTTTGTTTTCTTGATACTGAGATGCAATCCATAATGTAGGCTGTATTCCTTGATCTCCTGCAACAAGTGCTTCAAGTCCTCCTCACTTTCAGCAAACAAGGTTGTGTTATCTGCATAATGCAGATTATTGAGGAGTCTCCCTCACCTTCTAGGCTTACATTTGATCTAGGGGACTGAGTTCAGCTCCAGACTTAAAAAAGAGTGTCTAAAAGAGTCCACCAGTCTCTCTCAGACAAGTAAGTGCAGTCTTCAGCTGTGTTTTCCACTTTGTTCCACTGCAGTGGTGTTTTGTTTGCTTTGTTTTCTTCTGCAGTGGTGATTCCTGTGTGCTGTCAAGAATGAGCTTTATTGGGTACCATTTGGGAGGTGGTGGATGGTGTCACGAGCTACACAGATCTCCCCACCAAAAGATCAAGGCAGGATTCAACATACAGCAGAGCGTCAGTCAGTGTCCGCTCTCTCACAGGAACTTCCTGAATGAGTCAGAGACCTGCCCCAGGGGAGGTCACATCTGCTGCCTGGAGTCAGTCAGTATCCAGTAACTGAGTCATAGGTGGTGGTTATTGTGGTTAAGTGCCATCGAGCTGTAAACAATTCATAGAGAGACCCTATGAACGAATGACATAAACACTTGTGTAACTTTCGTCCTTTCTCCAAGTTCATAGTTTCCAGAGGCAAGCTATTCTGGAAGTGGATGCCACTCCTGCTTCCAAGCTTGTTTCAATCGGGGAGTTCCACCAAACACTGTTCACCGTGGGTAACCATTGTCACATTTTACACATCAGTGTCACAGTGTTCAACTTCACAGCAACCATGAGTTACCTCTGTACAGCAAGTGGACAGACCAGGGCTATACACCCAGAAAAGTGTTTGATCAAAAATAATTTAAAAAATATGAGGGCCATGGATTAAAACCACCCACCTTTGACTTAGTAGCATCACTCTCTGTCCACTAGGCCAACAGAGCTCTCTCTAGGTTGTTGTTAATTGCCATTGCGTCACAGGCGACTCATAGCGACCCTCTGAATGAAAGACCTGAGCACTTGTGATTCATAGGCAGTTGGGATTATTAAGCCTCAGGCTGGGATAATAACAGAGTCTTCAATGAGATCCATCAATGGACTGTAGTTCTATGGGACGGGGCATTGGGTATAATGTCCTGTGGCGTGGGCTTACAACCTTCTTTATCTATTGTTGTTGGTGGCCTGGAAACACCTTACCTCACCTCTTAAATCTCAGTGGTGAACTCTAAAACAAAGGATAGCAACAAGAACAATAATAACAACAACTATATGACCTACTTTCAAGAATTCAATAACATATAAACCACAAATTATATAAATGTTGACAGTTACTGTTACAAAATGTTCTTAAGACTAAAAGTTCCCAAATTATTAAGTGAAAGAAAGCTATCAAACCACCAAATGACCCTGAAAGCCAAAAGGAAAGGAAGTTTTAATTCCCAAGTGGGTTATGTGATTAATATTCCCCACTGCATGTGTCCAGTGATTTGAAACAAGTAAAAACAAAACTTCTGCCTGTTTATGTTTTCTTTTCTTTTCTTCTTCTTCTTTCTATTTATTTTATAGAAAGGAATAGGCCCAGATGCCAGGACAGCTTCATGGGGAAACAACAGCATTCTCTACAAGTGGTGTGAGGATATTGAATAGTTGTATGTGAAAGAATGAGCTTAAACCCTCACGATATGCTCTATCTAAACAGTAACTCAAAATGCACTCAGGTTTTAAATATAGGAGGTAAAACTATAAGATTCTTAGAGAAAATACTAAGTAAGACTCTTCAAGACTTTGAAGTTGGCAATGGTTTTTTAAGTATGATAACAAAAGCCCAAGAAACAAAGTAAAAAATATACCTTGGGTTTTATAAAAATAATAAGCTTTTATGTTTCAAATAATAATAATAAAGTGAAAATACAACACACTGAATGGGAGAAGACATCTACAAGTCATATGTCTAATATAGGACTTGTATAAAGAACACATAAAGAAATCCTACAACTCAAAAAGAAAATTCTGAAAAGCTCAATTCAAAAGGACCTTAACAGAAGTTTTTCCAAAGATGATACAGAAATGGCCATATGAAAAGATACTCAACCTTAGTCATGCAACAACTCATTATGATCACGTGGGAATCAACTCATACAGAGCTCACTCTCGAGGGGGTTTCCAGAGGCTAGAAACTGCATGAGACGAGACTGTCTAGGCGCGTTAGTAATAACTCGTGACTGGAATGCAAAAGCTGAGAACAAGGAAGAAGGATCAGTGGTCAGAAAATATGGACTTGGTGACAGAAACGAGGCTGGTGATAGAATAATACAATTTTGCACAATCACCTTTTATAGAAAAACACAGTGACTATGCGTACACATGGACTTCAGATGATGGAATACACAGGAGTCAGACTGATGACATCTGTGCAAAGAGTCACTGGAGAAGCTCAGTATCAGCTCTGAAAAGTAGACCAGGTGCTAATTAAAATGGACCATCAGAAAATGAAAACAAATCCCTAAGAGCTAAAATATGATCCTGAATCTATTTCACTTGCATTGAAAAACCTTCTCAAGAACAGGTTTGAGGCTCTGAACAATAATGAATGAAGACCAGAAGAGTTTTGGGATGATATTAAAAATATCATCCTTGGAGAATAGAAAAGGTTTTTATAACGATAAAAGAGAAAGAAAAGATCAAGACAAATGCCAGAGAGTCTCTGAATATTGCACTAGAGTGTCAAAGCTGAACACAGAAATTCCGTATGACCCAGCTATTCCACTACTTGGCATATACCCTGAGAAAATGAGAACTGAGGCACAAACAGAGATTTGTACACCAATGTTCATGGAAACAGCCCAAATGTCCTACCACAAATGAATGGATTGAGAACTTATGGTACATTCACATGATGGAATACTATGCAGCACACAGGAGCAATGATTTGGTAAATTATTACCTAACTTGGGAGAGACTGGAGAGCATTATGCAGAGTGAACTAACTTAGTCCCATGAGGACAAATATTGTATAAAACCATTATTGCAGAATGAGTATAAGGATCCAGGAGGGGTGGAAGGCAGGGGGATTAATCATGGAGTTGCACAATTTGATGGGAGCAGGGTGAGGGAAATTGAAAGAATTATTCTTAAAAACAATGTATTCAAATTTTGTAAATAAAATAGTAGAAAATTTTTTAAAAAATGCCATTACCTTTAAAAAAAAGAAGCCAAAATAAAGGGATGAAATCAGGAATGGAGAAGTTGGATATACACGGCTTGTGGGAATGTGAAATCAAATATCTACTTTGGAAAATAGTAGGACAAGTCCTCAAAATATTAAGCAGTTATATGGCCAAGCAATTCTATACAGAGACAAATGAAAACATGTACCCACCCCAAAAGTTGCTCATTCATGTTGATAGCAGATTCAATCATAAGCAAAAAGTAGAAGCTACCACAATGTCCACCAACTGATGACTGGATAAACAAAACATGGCCCATTCATACCATGGAATTTTAGTTGTCAATAAAATGTAATGAAGTATTGATACACGTTATAACATCACTAGTTCTTGTGTCCATTATGTTAAGTGAAAGAAGTCAACTGCAAGAGACCATCTATTGTATAATTCAATTTACATGAAATGTCCCAACAGACAAATAAAGACTGAAAGTAAACTATTACTTGACCAGGTCTGGAAGGGTTGAGAAGACATAGAGAATATGCATTAATAGGTACATAGTTTCTTTTTTAGTAAATATTATAAAATTGATGTGGTGATTTGTTTTTACACAGCTCTGTGCATACAGTAAAATCATTAAATTCTGCACTTTGATTGCATGAATAATAATGGTATATGAATTATATCTCAATAATGCTGTTACAGGAAGAAAAGAGTCCCATGGCTAAAGAAAGGAGACAGCAGACAACACGAGTTTAAATATAATCCAAGAAAAAATATCATGGTTATTTCACTTTGTTTTTTAAGTCAACACAGCTCACCATCTGGATCAAATAAATCAAATCCTAAACCTAACTCGTGGGAAACAGACATTTTCCTGGGAAAAAATGACAGTGCCTAAAAAACATTCATGTTTTCTCAAATAGGAACTCAAATGTTTGCAGCAACTGATCTTGATTTAGGGAATTCTTTACCTGAAGCTTGTTAAGTCAAGTTAATACATGCTGCCTAGAAAATGCTAGTATTTAAAAAAGGGTTTTCAAACATCATTAGCAGTCGATGCAGGGACATCTGCAATCGCAGTTCCTCCTGAGATGTCAGAAACATTACCTGTGAGCCTTCAGTATCCTCCGGGCAATGGCATCGCCAACCCTGTTGAAAACAACCTTGTCATCAGCACAGCTGATGAAAAACTGGTTCTGTGGGGAAGAAACAGGATAATCGTGTAAGTTTTTCTTTTCATCAAAATACGTGTATAAGAAAAAATTGCGGGAGAACAAAAACGACAATGATATTTAGAAAGAAAATGATGCACTCTGCAGACGAGTTCTGCTCACTGAAGTAACCCCTGGGGTGTAAGTGACACTCGAGTCAGAGACGGCTCATTTCACTCTGGGTCTCGTACAGTTCTAGGTAGTATCATTTAGATTTTCTTAGTCAGGTGGAAGGCTAGACGATTATTTTACCATACACACTGCCAGGAGGCAATTTGCCAAATTACCTCCTTAGAAAAGTGGGTTCATTCTAGATTTACTTAGTAGTAAAATCAGATTTTCTTTTTCAGCTTTATACACTGTTTAAATGACCCTTGTGACACAGTGCATAGCATATCCAGCTGCTAAACAGAAAGGTTGGTGGTTTAAATCCATTAGCTGCGCAATGGGAGGAAGACAGAGTTTCCTCCTGTGTAGATTTACATCCTTGGAAACCCAACAGCAGTGCGTCTGGTTTGTTTTTTATTAATCGTATTAAGGGACCAGTCTTTGGAAAAAGACATCAATGTATGAATGGGTAGGGGGGAAAGACATCATGCTGGGAATATCTAAAGGAGTCCAGTCCCTGGGAAAAGATCACACTGGGAAAGGGAGAAGGTTGGCAAAAGAGAGGAAGGCCCTTAACAAGAACGATTGGCCCCGTGAACATAACGGTCAGTTTGAACATGGTGGGAACTTTGGTGGTGGTTCTGGACAAGGCAAGGAAGCTCTGATGTCCTAGTGCTTAGAAGCTGCAATCGCATGTTGTCAGAAGAGACCAGTCCTTGGAAGAAGAATAATATGCTTGGAGAGGTGGAGGGACGGTGTAGGAGAGAGGAAGACCCTGGCTGAGATGGACTGACACAGTAAATAGGGTAACGGGGGTAGGTGTGTTGGAGATGGTGAGACGTGGCTCAGGATAGGGCAGGGTTCAGACGATGGTGCCTAGGGTCTCCATGAGTCACAGGTGACTCAACGACACGTTACAACAACAGCAACAACACATACACTTTCTCACTTATTTATATATTATTCAGTGGGAAAGACAAGACTGAGAAAGGATACATGCGTTTGCTTACTTTTCTCCAGTATTATGACTTTTAACTTTTCCAGAGTTTCTTAAATTCTTTGCGGTATTTTTCTATTTATTCAGGGATATACTTAATGCTACAAACTAATCTTAGATTCCTCAGATTTTCTTCCATTCCATGACTATAAACGTCAGGGTGTGAACGTGTTTTACAATAAGCAGAAGTCCACCCAGAATGGGAGGTGGTGCCTGCCCCCCCTAACCTCACAATCCCCTTTTCCCTGCTCCTTTCCTGCACGCAGCCTGCCACATTCACATCCAGTGACATCCAGGGGCGTCTATGAGAACAATCTGCCCGTGTGGGTTTTTCTCTGAGGCAGCACAAGCCTCACACTTAAACCCTCCAGCCTACACCAAATCAAAGCATACACCTCTGTGCTGATGTATTTCTGGCTAATAATATCACAGCGAGGAGCTCTGGCAGCCTAACGGGTGAAGAGGACACTGCAACTCAATGGCTATTGGTTTGAATCCACCAGCTAGCTGCTCCATGGGAAAAAGATGGGCACTCTCCTCCCATGCAATTTGCAGCCTCTGAAAATCCTCAGAGGGAGAAAGAGTCCGCTCATGACAACAGACAAAACCACAACAGCAGAAACAGTATCACAATAAAGAGGTCATTTTCATAGCAAACATCTATGGGGTACTCAGTATAGATTTCAGCCAGGCAGATGGGTGAGGTAACAATTCAAGTGACCAATGCCGTCTTCAGTTTTCTTTACATCTTACATATATTTACATGGCAAGTCCTGGGTGCAGGGCCCTGAAGTCTCTCTAAGCTATTTCTGGGAAGACAGAACCTCACACCGATTTCATGACCAGGACTTACCTCTATGTAGATATAGTGTTTACTGTTCTCTATCACATGGACGTAAGCAGTGTGGATCGACTCTTCATGGTACTTTATCCCAGCCGACCAATCAGCAGCAGAGCGCAGAAGCTACACGGCAGGAATCAGAAAAGAAGCAAATATCAGACACTGAAGAGGACAACGGACGACTGAAATCAAGACTTCATTCCCCTGCCACTGAAGGACCACAGCAGCGTGTATGTAATATGTGGGGAGGTTCGTGGATGGGAGACTAGGTGGGCCAGGAATTTTGCGGAGAAGAAAGATGGAGGGAAGACTGATCTTAGACATTATCCATAAGGAAGAAAGCAAGCAAGTCAACTGGAAATTTCATCTTGAATATACTTTTCCTACCCGGGATTATTAAAAGACACATTGCGATGGGAAAGTCAGCTGTTAGGGACTTCTCCAAAGTACTGAAGAGCAATGATGCCACTCTGGAGACTAAGGTGCACCTGATACAGGCCATGGCCTTTGCAATCACTTGCTATGCATCAGAGAGCGGGACAATGACTAGGGAGGATAGAAGGAGAATTGATGCCTTTGAGCTATGGTGTTGGAGAAAAGTATTGAGTGTACCATGGACTGCAAAGTAAACAAACTGGTTCATGCTAGAGAGGGTTAAACCAGTATTCTCCTTGGAGGCAAGGATTCTAAAGCTTTGTCTGGCATACTTTGGACATGTTGCAAAGAGGGTCCAGTCCTTGGAGAAGGATGTCACGCTTGGGAGAGTGGAGGGACAGAGCAGGAGAGGAAGACCCTCTATGAGGTGGATTGACTCAGCCACTGGGGTTCTGGGCGTAGGTATGTCTGAGACAGTGAAGCTGGCACAGGATAGAGCAGGGTTTCGGGTTGTTGTATATAGGGTCGCTATGAGTTGCAGGCCACTCAACGGCACATAACAACAACCGGGATTAAGGGCGCTCTGGTAATGTCGTGAGTTGCACTGATAATCCAATGGATATGCACATGCCTCTTCTAATCTACCAATTCTACTCCACTCAGGAGAAAGATGGGCTATCTCCTCATGCATTCTTTACAGCCTCAGATATCTGCTACAGGGCCAGTTATGGATTAATTGGTTTTGACTCGACAGTAATGAGTTGAGTTTAGCACTAATTCTCAAAAATCAGGTCCTGGTTGGATCATAAAGTTGTTGTTGTTGTTATGTGCCATCAAGTTGCTTGTGACTCATAGTAACCCTAAGTACAACAGCCCTAAACCCTGCTCTATCCTGTGCCAATCTTATTGTCTCTTATACATTTATCCCCCATTACCCCAGTCGCTAAATCAATCCATCTCATCCAGGGTCTTCCTGTCTTGTGCTGTCCCTTCATCCTCTCAAGCATAATGTCCCTCTCCAAGGACTGGTGCCTCCTTGCAACATGTCCCAAGTATGGTGGATGGAGGTTCAGAATCCTTGCCTCCAAGGAGAAGCCTGGATTCACCCTCTCTAGGACAACCTGTTTGTTCTCCTAGCCATCCATGGTATCTTCAATACTATTCTCCAGCACTGGAAGTCAAAAGCATCGATTCTCCTTCTATCATCCCCAGCCATTGTCCAGCTTTCTGTGCCCACTCCTTGATTGGATTATTTACTTTTATCTTGTGGTGCTCAAGTATTTAATAAATTCTGGACATTGTCCAGCTTTCTGATGCCAGCAATTGCAAAGACCGTGGCCTGAGTCAGGAGCACCTTAGTCTCCAGATTGATATCGTTGCTCTTCAGTAATTTGGAGAGGTCTCTGACAGCAGACTTTCCCAATTCAATTAATCTTTTCATTTCCTGGCTGCTGGTACCAAGAGTGTTGACTGTAGAGCCAAGCAAACTGAAGCTGTCAACAATCTCAATCTCTTCATCATCCATCATGATGCTATCAATCAGCCCAGTGGTGAGAATCTTTGTTTTCTTGCTGTTGAGCTCCAATTCGTATTGAAGGCTGAAGCCCTTGACCTTCTGCAGCAAGTGCTTCAGGTCATCCTCAGTTTCAGCAAACAGTGTTAGACACATATATATGCAGTGATTCAAGACATAGTCAATTTTTAGTCTGGTAAAAACCTTGCCACTTCAATGACTTTATAAACTGTATTTACAAGACTATTTAAATTCAAACCAAATGTCCACTAAAACCTCCTAATTGTGCCACTGTCAACAATATGTTTTCTTGTTTGAGGCATTCACTTTCAATTAGCTCCCTTTAAAAGTGCTTTATTTAGTATTATTAGATGATTATTTGTAATAAAACTGAAAACTTTAATTGTATGAATAGACAAATATTTCAGAAAGAAACCCATCAAGAAAATGTAAATATAATTCCCACTTAGAAGGCATTTTGACTTAAATCATCTCCAAAGAAACTGCTCATTAGGAAGAAGTTAAACAAAAAAAAGGTTTTCTAATCCACTGAAATCAATGTTGTCTTGTGTTTCTAGTGAGTCTGGCCCTGAATGGGCAGAGCTGTCTTGAGAAGATGATTATGTCACATCACTGATCTCACTGCACACAATTCTGTAAACAGTGTCTAAACTGCAGACTGTACGGGGGAAAGCAGGCACAATTCCTTTGTATCTGTGCACTAGCTCCGTGCTTCCTTGCTCTTACACCTTGGACAAGTCATTTTTATTCCATGAAGGCTCAATGTCCTTAACTGTAAAAATGAAAATAACTCTGACTGACTCATAGTCATGAGACTGCCACAAAGGAGAAAAGTTACAAACGGAATACAAATGCTAAGAATGCAACATAACACAAAGTAGCTGTTCAGTAAACAGCATTTATAACTTGAGAGAATACAACTGACAAGTTTTATCCCCACCCTCGGTGAGAACTGGGCGGTCAGAATCAGAATCCATATGCTTTCTTACTTTTCTCCTTCTCTAAGCCTGCTTTCATTCAAGAATTTAATAAACTTCTTCACATAAGATTTAGACCAGCAGTGTCAAGTAGATTTTTTTTTTACTTGAAAGTCAAGTCTAATTTATTTGATGCTTCCTGGAGAGCTAGACTGAGAAGAAGATTCTAGAAAAGTGAGCAGAATGGGGAGGAAATCTGAGTGTGATTACACTTGGCTGCCAGGAAGGGAAAAATGAAGGTGGAATAGTTGCCATTTCCTTCTGATGGTTGAAGGTGCTCTAATGGCCTAGTGGTAAGGAGCTGGGCTGCCAATCCAAAGGCAGGTGGTTTGAATCCGCTGGCTGCTCTATGCGAGAAAGACAGACGATCTCCTCCCTACCACTTACTGCCTCTGAAGATACATGGGGTTTGGGGTGTTCTCTGTGGGTTCCCGCTCTGTTGATTAATGGAAGACGTTTCCCTTTCCAGAGTATTTTAAATGTTTAAAAGAAGTAATTTGTACTTGGAATATACCCTCAGAAAACGAGAACTGAGGCACAAACTGAGATTTGTACACCAATGTTCATAGCAGCATTATTCACCATCGCAAGAACATAGAAACAGCCCACATATCCAACCACAAACGAATGGATTGAGAAATTATGATTCAGACACACAATGGAATACTATGCAGCACGCAGGTGCAGTGATTTTGTAAATTATTACCTGACTTGGAAAGGACTGGAGAGCATTATGCTGCATGAATTAACTCAGTCCCACAAGGATAAATATTGTATAAGACCATTATTGTAGAATGAGTGTAAGGATCCAAGAGGGGTGGGAGAGGCTGGAAGCAGAGGGATGAGGAAAGAGGATTAATCATAGGGTTGTACAATTTGATGGAGGGGTAAGGGAAATGGAAAGAATTTGTCCTTGAAAACTATATATTCAAATTTTGTAAATAAACTAGTAGAGAAAACAACAATAACAACCCTCTCAAAACAAAACAAAACAAAACACCAAAAGAGGACCTCTCCGTGTATTACCCTTTTGGGGAAGGGGAGTTAACAGAAATGAGAGGGTGCCTCGCTTTACAATGTGGGGAGTGATGTAAGGAGGACTGCCCACGTCCCAAGGAGCTCACTTTCATCTCTCCCAGTGTTTGAACGCAGACTTACACCATTCTTTCAAGAGGAAAATTCATCTAATTTACTAAAAGAAAAAGACATCATTTTTGGTTAAAAGTTATCAAGCAGCACAGGATAAAGTGACCTGAGGTTGTGATTCCTTTACCATTATTCATATATGTTTGAATTACGGCTAATACAAAGATAGATTGAAAATATCAAGTTCCTTTTTGTACTGCTTCTCCCTCTGAACCATGGAGCTGTGATGTTATATATAAATCAACTCAATTGCTTTAAACGCTTGATGGTCTAGATAGTTTTGTAAACAGTGAAATGAGTCAAACACATTTTGATGGACTTACTGTGACTGTCTATTTAAGATTTACTCTTCTTTTAACTGATCTCACCCACTTGTCTTGTATTTTTGTTTTAAAACCAAGGTCATTTGGACAAACCTCAAATTGCTCCTCATATATGCAGAAATCTAAACTTACTGCCCCAAGTGCGCTGGGTTTAAAAAGAGCCCCTATTTTTCAAACCTCAAGTTTGAATATACAATTTTAATACATGCAAAACCCCTTATATTTCTGATTTTTTCTTTTTGTCTCAAATTTGTAACTAGGGTCTGTGGGAAGCCAAATATCAAAGTAAATATTAATGATGAGCTTAATGCTGTATCAGGATATGAGGGAGGCACAGATGCAAGCTGAGACAGGTCACGGGGGTCAAATGCCAACACAGACCTTGGGCTGTTTTCACAGTTCTTGGGTTGTATTTGCTAACCCCTCCCTCCTGAGTCAAGCATAAGGTTTTCAATAAAAAGAGCTTAGCTTCATATGCATAGAATTCTCCGTGATTTGCTCCCAGGCAATTTTCAGTAAAGTCACAGGGAAGCTGGGTTTGAGACTTTAGCTCTTCCAGCTCTTTGCCTCCTGCTTTATTTAGGTCCTGTTTTCTCCTCCATTCTTGGTGTCCCTTCTCTTTCTTTATTCTTTATCCTTGATTGACAAGGGCCCATCATTTTTATTTGCACTCCTATTTTTTTTTAAAAGCCAAAACTTGACCAATAAGGCTATTGGTCTCTACTCTCCTTACATATCATGAGCTTGAGTTAAATTTATGGACTAAGC